AACCTCTTTTCCTTGAAAGGACTGCTCAACCTTCACTGGAGTCTCTAGGGTGCTTGATGAAACTCTCCTTAGCTCAGGGCTGTAGGTATTCTTAAACTCAAAGATAGGCTGCGGTTTTGGTGTCGTCACCACTTTCTTCGGTGTTGCTTGGTACAAGGGCTTGGTGGTGCGAACGCGGGGCTGGTACTTCTTTGTAAACTCTCTATACATTCTGGATTTGAGACCTCCCCAATCAAGAACACGTTTGGTAGTGTAGTAAGTCGCATCATCCTCTCTTAACCACCATTCATATGCATCTCCTTTAAGCATACTAATGGCATAGTACAACTTCTCTTCTTTTGGTATGTTGTTGGAGCGCAGCCACTGTTTCATATTGGCCTCCCACCTCAAATACATCTCCGGGTTCTTACTAGAACCTGTAAATATTAAGGGATTAAATGTGTAATCACATCTCTTGTTAGGTTGCTTCTTTGGAATGGTGTGTGTAGGATGAATTTGCTTTCGGTATGAGGCAACTCCGTGGTGGCTGGACTTCTCTTCGTGCCTTGGGGAATTGTATTGATAATCTGCATAATCATTCTCTTCAAAGAAATACGAATTTGCTTGAATCCAAGTGGCTTGGGGCGTGTAGGTATATGACTCGGTGTGTTGTTGGCTTGAAAGATAATGGTCGGATGGCTCTGGTTCAAGATCATCATCTTCTGGTTCTTCTCCGCAATAAGGATCAGAAGTCCCCTCCTCGTACCATGTTTGTTTCCCATATTAATCCTCTTCTTCGTTCATGCCCTGGTACTCATCTTCTTGGTTCCATTCAGTCTCATAATGGAAAACCTCCACTTTCTCTATGTAATAGGACACCATAGCTCTGGTTTTCTCCAAGGGATATCTTGCAAACAAAGAAAGAAGCCGAAAATTAAAGTTGTATCAAACACTAAGGAAACAATGAATAATTGACAAAACGAAAAAATATGGAAACTTTTTTTTTTAATTAAATTTCGAATCTGATAAATGGAAAAGAAAGAAGTAAATTTTTATTTTTCTTTTAGAATTTTATCCAAATTAAATTCAAAAATTAACAAATCTTTTAAAATAAATCGAAAAAAAAAATTTATGGGATTTTTTGTTCTTTATGAAAATTCGAAATAAATAGCAACTAAAGCAAATAATGTTTCTTTTGAGTTTTTTTTTATGGTTTAATAATGCAAAATCAAGAACAAATGATAAGAAACTTGAACCAAAACGATTTTTATTTTGGTTTTTGATTTTATGGAAATTAAGCAACAAAAACAGAAAAATAGAAAAGATAAAGGTTGGATGAACACAACTTTGATTTGATAGGAGCTTTTAAGCTCTGATACCAAATGATATAAGATCGGAATCACTCCAATTCTAAGACCACTAGATGATCGAGAGATTCCAAGCCTAGACTTGCGGAATGTGGAAACGATGGTAGAGATGGATGGTGAAAGGAGATTGACTCGCTCAATCAAATGGACGAACCTGCTTGTTTAATCACACAACAAACTGATCCACACGAGCAAGAGAGACCAGTGACTCGCTCACAAGACTCAAATGCACAAGAAACTCAAAGAGACTCGTCTTTGAAAAGAAACAATAGGTTTATTAAAATTCGATGATTAAGGGTGCCCTACAATGAAACAAAAGCTGAGCTTTTATAGGCTCAAAGGACAACGGTTCTAAAGTCTGAAACAAAAAAAAAGAAATCGCCAAATTAAAAGAATAGAGCCGTTTGAATTAAATCTTGAATTTATGCCGAATATGGAAAGTTGTTGAACTTTGTATCTAGACAGCTTGGGAAGGTGGAATTGCGCCTTAGGGAGTCTCTTATGAGCCTGGAGGGTCTCTAAAACACGCATAAACAGAGTGAGAAAGAGCCATTGGATTTTGACTGTGCAAAATAGGCAAGTTTGGTCTCCTTTGAATATGTATGATCAAGTGTGAGATGGTGCACCATAGGACGTGTCTTGAGAATATCTTGTAGGTGTCGAACTGCTCTAAAATGCACCAGTATTGATAAAGGAGCCGTTGAGTCAAAACATAAGTGTAAACGCTCGTAAATAAGGAAAGTGTAGATTTAACTTCTTGTTTTGTGACTTTAACTGGTTGGGATGAATGTGGACGACTTCCTTGGTTAAAAAGGAACCCTATGATGCTCCTAGATGGTCTCTAAGTCGTGGTTTCAGCTGATGAAAAGTCAGGTGCACGTATTTCCTCATTAACAACCGGTTTTGGACCTCCTTTGCAAGCTCTATAACTTGGTTTGGTCCAATATTCTCTTTGTTGGTTCGGTTTGGGTGGAGTGTTGACTGAACCAGCTGGTTTGGTCATCTCCTCTTCATTTATGGTCTTGATGTCCTCTTCACTCTCCTCTCCATGTCTCATGATTCCTTGCACCATAGTTGATGATGACTTGATGTCCTCATCA